GATTCAATCTTACAAAACAAGCATATTCTCAAAATTTGGGTGATAGATATACTCATTATTTAGATTTGATCAGTACACATTGTACACATGGATCAAAACATTATATCGCACTTCATAAATATGTGTAATTACTATGCATCAATAAAAAGAAGAAAAAAAGGTAGGAAAAAAGCAATGATCCCATAACTTTCTATTCCAGAAGGTACAGAGGATTAGGTATCATTTCAGATGAGTCTTTATTCTTAATCTATTATGGAATAATCTCCCCATATTTTAGTATTTTACTAGATTCTTTTAGCATTTTACTTGATTAAAAAAGTTCTAAAATAAAAAATATTTCTGTAAATAAATTTTCTTTTCAAGTCAGAAGTTTCTAGCTCCATTAGAGACTTTTCCTAATTTTCTCAGCTCCAGGTAAATTTTATCTGATGGGGTCCTTTGAAGTATGTAGTCATTTATTTCCCCCTTAAATGACTGCAGAGTTCCCCCCAGGATTGAGTTTTCACCCCATCAGATGATTTCCCATGCATTCATTTACTCCTAGCTTGTTATTTTTGGAATTCACCCAGAGGTGTACATGAGTTACTTTGCTGAAACTGTTTCTTTTGCCAGAGGGGAAGTTTCTGTGTGTGGTTATTGATGTTTGGTTTCAAATCAATGCATGACAAATAAAGAAATAATGGAAGATGATTTGTGGCAGTTATACCTGCAGGCAGCTACTGCTCACATGTAAAAAAATTCCATTTTATTATTTCAGAAGACTAAGGGCTTAGTTTCTCTTGGACAAAGAAGGAACAGAGACTTCTTAGTGGCAGCCTTGAGGTTAACTGGATAAGCAATTTTCTGGTTTTGGCCTCAACACAGGGTTTGTCTTTCTGTAGTTCTCTTTGCTTGTAAACAGACAGATTTGTGTTGGAAGGAGTTGAGCATTTGATGCTGCCTGTGTTGAGTGCCCCCCCACCCCCTGTTTTAGTTTTAGTGAAGGATCTTAGTTCTAAAATTACCAAGGCCACTAGAAAATCATGAAGATAACCAAGATGGCTTGAGAACTGGCCTGCTCATGCCCTTCGTGCCCTGATGTGAATTCCAGGGGACCACTGTGAGCAGGAAAAACATACACAATAGACAGTTGATTCTAGAGCTCTGGATCTAATGCACTGGCTCAAATGCATGGCCCAGAAGATATTTGTGTGTTTGCCTAGTTCTCAAAATTATTTTCAGATGGGGGGGGGTGTCCTGTACATTTTTATATATACAGAAGCTATCATTTCCTTTTTAAATATTTTTTTCTGAGCCTTCCAATAAATTCTGAGGGAAGTAGAGGCTAAACATTGAGCTCCCCCATGGCACCACCAAACATGACTCATACTTACTCTGGATGGTCTTGGTGTTGAGCAGGGATGTGCTGAATAACTTCATAAATTGTGCTGTGATAATCTTGCCCTGATACTCCATCAGAGGTGGGAACAGACCTGCTTGGCATCTAGAATAAGTGGCAGGTCAGAAAAACCAAAAATTAGCCCAAGATCAGTCAATAGTATTTCCTTTATATTGTGCAGCTGAAAACATTGGGGAATAATGATGATTAGAGGATTAGAACTGTTTCTCATCCCTTGAATACTTATTTCTTCCTTGCCAGTTTCCTGCACTTACCCTTTGGTGGTCTGTATAGTAGCATAGCTATAAGGTCAGAAGAGGAATAGCTTGACAAAACTATTATATTTTTTATTCATTTAAAAAGAAAGCTGGCAATACCGTTAAGGAACTATAATAGCAGGGAACACAGCAAAAGTGGAGATATGGCAGGTTGGGACAAGAGAGCACATATTCTTATCTTTTATATTACATTTTAGTTACTCTTCTGACATTATTTGCTAATTATATGTGAAAAATGGCTGAAAAGAAGGAACAGTGTACAACCAGAAGCTTTACGCACATCGCAAGTGAGTAAAGACAGTACCAAAAAATACCACTCAAAGGGAGATGTTTCGGATTGAATGAACTAATGGGCTGTAAAAAATAAAAACTTGGACTGCACCTGCCCTGCAAGCGCAAGGTCCTGAGTTTGATCCCTGGTACCGAAAAAAAACCCCAACCAAACCACACAACCCTCCTACCCCAAACAAAAAAACCCAAACCCAAAACAAACAAACAAAAAACTAAAAGCTTGGCTAAAGTTAGAAAGAATACTGTATTTGTCTAGAAAAATATTTTATTTTATTGAGGACATTTTATTGAAACTGACATTCATGTTTTATTAATTCCCATTCCTTCTATTTCCTTCTTCCTAAAAATACTGTCTTCTAATGATTTAGACAAAGCCTGAATATCCTTGACACCCACTTTCTATTTTCATCCTGTTTCTGTGTATTTTCAGTCCTTCATATTTGTACAGCTTCACCCAGAAGCCTTTGCCCTGGATACGTCTGAGCAGTTCCCTGTCTCATCCCAATCTGACTTGTGAGGTTATGTTCAAATGTCTTGGCTTTATGCTCTTCTGGAGCTCCGTTTCCATTCCAGTTACTAAAGCTCTCAAGGACAGTGATTTGTTCTATCATTTCGCGTTAAAGAGATCTGATCTACATTTTGTACTTGAGATAGACTCTTGATTTCTTTGGCTATGGTAAAAACAATCTATAGATGATCACTGACTTCTCTAACCTAATATTAGAACTGTTAAATAACAAATGTGTTCATTTCATACAATTGCTTTCTGCTGGTTTTCCTGAAAGAGGTGCTAAATGGACAGTGAAATGTACAAGCAGAGAGAAAAGTATTTTCATTTTCACATGTACCAAAAATAAATCCAAGAGATTATCTTAACTTTTAAAAACTAAACTATCCCCCTCCCTCTTTGTGGAGGTAGTATGGATTGGACCCTGGGCTTTTGTACTGAGCTCAGTCCACCAGAGTGCTGTTATTTTCCTTCTTAACTTAAATCTTGAGATTTTGATTCTGTTAGTATTTCTTCTTTTCTTCTTGGGGCCGTCGTCTTTGGATGCTAGTGTTCCCATTAACTGCCATTCTGGCTGCTGCTTACTCAGATACTCCTCCTCTTCATGTGCTCGTCCTTATTTCCCTCTTCCTTTTGTTGCTAGTTTTGATTTCTCACTGCTCCCCCAAAGCACCTGGTCTCACCAATTAAGAAGCTCAGCAGAATTCTCCGGGGGTTTCAGCTTTGAAATTGGGCATGGCTCCAAATCAAGTTCTATTTATGAGGGAAATAAGTGGGGTTTCTGAGATGCAATTAAAAGATCCACTTCTGTGCTTTAAATTCTTGAGGAGTGTTAGCAGTTTAAACCTACAGAGGTCTTCCCAATTAGTATCTCAAATCTTGTACTGATTAATAACAAGTCTAAATTTAAAATTTCTTACAAAAATTTCACTAATTTCCAATGAATTCCTAGGAATAAAAAGTGTGAATTATTATAAATGAAGAAAAACTCCTTGTCTCAAAAATTCAATTATCAATCCTTCCAGTTCTTTAGTCTCCTGCTCCCTTATCTGAAGCCACACCTTTTGGGGTGCTTTCTGCCACTGTGAGTAGTTTTAGATTACTGCTTTGCCAAATATTTATTTTTGTCTTTTTGTTGTGAAAGTGAAGAGTGAGTCACCCTGCATGAGATGAAATAGGACACCGCAAAGCACCTGCAGGGCAGCTCTCTTCATCTGTGACAACCGGGTGCTGTGCTACTGACTTACCCTCAGGGAGGGTGAAATCCAGTCAACTCCTCTCCATGACTCATATGGCACTTTGGAAATAGTCTGTGGCCAGGAGCCTGCTGAGAGAACCTTGCACATTGATAGAATCCTCTATACCAGTGAAGTAGCCATTTCCTAACAACAAGTAGTCCTTCTAAAAAAGGGAAGTGAGAATGCCCAGAAGCAAGCAATCCCTTTATGACCCTTTCCAAGGGGAACAAGAAAGCAGGGGAAAAACAAGTCCTACACAAATCTGTAACAGTGCTCATGAGGTGATTAGCCCAGAAACACCTTCTGCATGTCTGTTATTATTTTAACAGATTGTCCCCCTAGACTGGATAAATGGCTTCAATGATTACCCGTTTATCCCCTTTATTAATGCCCCCATTAGGATAATTACAAAAATTTAAACTTGCATACTTTAGGTCTATACTGTATGATAACTTCTTTATGGTGAGCATGGGGTACCTTCAACGGTATGAACAAATGTCTTTGAAATGCACTAAAGAGTTGTGAGGAGGAAATGAAGAGAAACTGAGGAACAGAGAGTTCAGTAAAGTGATGTGTTGCAGTCACTAAAGTAATGCAGAATAATTTCAATCAGAGATTCCCAATTCTCTATTGATTCAGTTCTCTTGAACTTCAGTTTAATCAATTCCCTCTTCCCTGAGCTTATAGTAAAGAATGTTTATTAATCAGCATAACTTCCTTATTTGTGTTAGCTTTACCTATAAAGGCAGAGAAAAATGCCTTAGCTCCCCAGATCTGCCAAAATCAATCATTACGGAGTTAATTCAGTAAGTGGTAATAAAGACATTTGACAGCATTGTCCGAGTGCTTAAATTCATGCTTCTTACACCTCTGGTGAGGCAGAATTTTACTTGGTTAATCAGCCACTAGAATACCAACCCTGGAAACACCAGAAGCATCTGGAAAAGCAACAAATTCATATATTCCGAAGTCATCCAGAGCATCTTCATGGCCTGAAATGGAAAACAACACTACTTACAAATTCAATGTTTTGATTTGCTATTGCTTTAAAAACCATTATAAAACTCATCTTCATTGTTTGTGTTAAATGGTAAGTGTACAAAACCAACTGGATATTTCCTAAGCCCTGTTGGTCATATTGCTGTTGAGTAATACCAGAAGTGAATTCTTCTGAAGCTGAAAATTGAAACTGAACTGGAACAATTATTCTTAAAGCCTCATGTGGGAACAATATATCATATATTCAGATGCACACATGTGGACAGGCTTATCCTTTGTAACCTTCAGTTATCAGAGAGTTGTGAACACTAAACCTTCAGCCAGATGTCAGCAGCTTTTGATCCACTCATAATATTCACTTTCCTCTGATAGATCTAACAGAGACCACCAGAAATGAAAAGAATATGTAAATAACTATAGCTGCTTAGACATGCAAAACACTGTACAATAAAGTATTACCATTCATCTAAACTTCATCTGTAAAATAATGGGGGTGGAAGTGGTTTGGAGGAACCAGATGGTCTGACATTCAATCATTTGAGCAAGGGCTAGAAAAGCAGAACAACCATACTGATTAAACATTCAGATAAAATAATTTTCCTAAGGGGAAGGTGGCACATATAGGAAAGAAACCCAGGTTTTGTGATGCCAAGGCCCAAGCAGAAGCTCCATTGTTAACTTATCATCACTTGGTATAGAGTCAACAGTGAAGGCCATGAGAGTCAACTGGAGACAAACAAGGACAGGGCCCTGTCAAACCGTCCTTTCCTCTTTTCCTTGGGATGGAGCTGCCAGCATTTCATGGGAATAAACAGTGATAGGCTCATTGGGCATTTTCAAAATAATAATGATAGGTCAATGAACAAGGAGTCAGCAGAATGCAGTGACTGGGCAAGTGACTTCATCTTTCTGATCTTTAGTTGTCTTGCCGTAAACATTCAGGCTTATCTTCCAGACTTGTATGGCTTACATTAAACCAGTACAGGAACACCACTTATAAAGTGAAGCCACTACTCAGAGGTAAGAGATTGCTAGTATTATACTGGTATTAGCTTATATTAATTCTATTATATTAATGTAATATAATATAATAGAAGTATCAACTAATACCATTAGTTAATGTCAACAATGTTATTTAATATGCTTTAATACAGCCCTTTTTAATATGGCCATTACCTGAAAATGTTTGAGCTTTCCTGTATTCTGTTTCTGGCCTGAAAAGACAAGTAGATATTTCTATCAGGGATAATAATTGAGGAAAAACATCCAAGAATAAAATTATTTTCACAAGAATATGTATATTACCTTCCTTCTAACTTCTGTCTTATAACTAAAGCCAAAAGAAAAAAGCACAGTAAGGTATATTTTAATAGATACACAAAATTTGAAACTTTTTTTTCTAATTTTAACCTACCTTTGTAGGGTTGATATTTTTTCCATATGAAGAGAAGAAGCATGGATATAATCAAAAATAGTGATATTCCAGTTATAATAGCTAAAGGGGACAATGATTTTGCATTTTGTGCGAGCTTCTCCAGTCCTAAATAAAAAGAAAAATATATTTTAGTAATAATTTATTGTAAATTTGATGTGTTTATGATTATTCTTTATCTTAAGACAATTTTGCAAATTTCTTTCTTTCCCCACTCTATTCCAAGAAGGACACCAAATGGAAGGAAAGTACTTATTGCATTTCATTTTAGTTTTTGGAATGTACTTATTTTAGAACACACACACACACACACACACACCTCTCTGGGGATATTTGCGGATGGAAATGTGATCTGCCTGGGATCATACTGACACATTGTACTAGATGTAGCAAATAACTCACGTCCTACTTCTTAATTGTGTTTGCCACTTTAATTTAGATTTGTTTCAGTTCACTGTCTTTATATCCCCAGATGCTAGATGTGCCCCCCTCTTTCTCTCTCTCCTCTAGTGTAATTCAAGAATGTGAATTTTCTAAGGCGTTAGGGTAAAGTGCAAGAAAAAAGGTGTTTATTTTAAATACACTTTTACTAATTTTTGACCAATCAAGATATGTCACTTAAGATGTATGTGTGATCATCAATACATACTTAAAAGTGGCATTTTATACCTAAGATTCACTTTGTAAGTGATTCCCTTTATTAATATCACTATAGAAAATGTTCTAATAGCTAACATCTGCTGAGATTTTACAGTATATCAGCATCTGTAGTAAGGGTACATGATACCTATTAGCTCATTGAATTTTCCCAACAATCTTACTAGGGAGGTGTTATCTGAGCATCTCCCTCTATGGATGAGGAAGCTGGTGCTTGCCTCAGGACACTGAAGTTGCCAGTGGTAGATATGACCCCAGATCTTAACACTACATCATACTTCTTAGTACTACTTTAACACAACCTAGTAAGCATGCCTGTGCTAATATCAGAGCCAGACTATAATGTGCTTAGTCATATAGTTAACCATGTACAGGAGGAAGAAGTTGTGATTGCCAATAAATTCAAGTCATAAATAGATGTCTTCTCTATCGACATGGGACTGAGATATTGACGTGGAGATGAATCCTGACCTTTGACTATCTCTGCCAAGATTAATGTGGGAATGAAAGTCATATGATACCATTTCCATTCCATAGTGGAGAATGGCCTGGAGAATTTGGGTGTGGTAAAGAACATTGTGACCACTGGACTGTGTAATAAATGTCAAGTCTGGATCCTGTCAAACCCACCAGAAAGCCTCTGTTCAGATTCCCAGCAGCCAAGATAAGCAGGAAGCCTTACTCGTTCTTTTTCGCTCAGTATTTAAACAGATATTAAACTCCTTTAAACCTCGGGTAGAAGAAGTAAGTGCAAAGTGATTTAAAATGAAACAGGATGGCAATTTTTGGTTCTAGAACCAATTTTATTGGTTCTAGTGCTAAACTAGAATATCTTAAGACTTAATAGAAAGATAGATGGCCTCTTTCTTCTCTTTGTTAATAAAAGGTATTCTACTGTTAGAAAGTTGGCCTCTTTGGAACTCTGTTGGCACTTGGGTTATTTTTTTTTTTTCAATTGGGTTATCTTTGTGAGGTCTTAGTCTTTTACATTTTTCTTTTTTACATTTAGTTTTTGATATTGTGCTCCTACTTCACAGGTTTGTTCTCTCTAAAGAGCTGTATAACTTTAGGTGAGCCACTTGACTCTTGGGGTTTTGATTTTCACAGTAGTAAAATGAGGAAGTGAGAACGATAGCCTTTAGATTGTATTCTTGTTCCAATCCTCTGATTTGGTGTATAAAGAGAGACTTACATGAAGTTTCTTACATAAATCAGACATTATATCCAGTGCCATACTAGTAACTCAGCCTCAAAACATTGTTCATATGTACACTAAAGTCACTTATTTTACTGATATAAAGGACATATAGCACATAATTTACAAATAAGTAAAATATGCAATACTCTTTTTTGTTAATTCCACATAGCTAATTGATTCTTATAGCATATATATATAGCTGTTCACCTATGGGTGAAATTCACCTATGTTTTGGTAAAATTAGACTTCAAATAAATGCTGATCACTATCCAATTCAGTAAAGTAATTGCTAACATCATTGATGAACAAGTGTAGTATTAACATGAACATTGGTTGGTACTTAGTAAGATGAAAGTGAGGCAACAATGATGTATATTGAAACTTCATTCATTCATCAAAGACTTGAAGGACTGCTCAACTGATGATAGTTTTTAAATACTGAAAGAACATTCCCTCAGGTGTTTTTTTTGTGCCATACGTAATGTAATAGCCAGGACAATGTATTTTAAGATTAGTCAGCACCGTTATTTTCTCCATCATTTTTTTAACTGTAGATAATCTATTTATAGATAAAATTCCCTGAGTTTTGAAAAGTATCTTTTTCATTATCAATAAGTTTAAGATGTTTTCTAACTTTTATGGAAATTTCATATTCAATATGAATATGTATTATTTAGAAATGCATGATTTAAGCTTGTTATATTTTTTTTCTTTTTTGGTTTAATCTCATTCTTGTCAGAGTATATTCCTTTGAATTAGTGAGGTTTTTTTTAAATGACCATACAAGAGGTCATATGAAAAGAAGGTATGTTTTACTTTTGTTCAATGTAGTATTTTATATTTTTCACTTAGGCCAGGTTGTATTTCTAGTAACTTTTTGTCTGTTAGTTCTATGAATTACTGAAAGAGATATGTTACTGAGAGAGAGAGATCTTCTACTCTGTGGGTTTTTCTATTTTTGTCATATTTTTCTATTTATTAGGTATAGTTTAATGCATATTAATCCTATTAATGCATATTAATGCATCCTATTAATGCATACACATTTTCTGCTGAAGACCATTTTACTTTTATGAAATGTCTGTATTTTATCTGAAGTAATGCTTTTTGTCTTCAACAATTTTTCTAATTCTTTGATGTTACATGATATTGGTATAGCTCTACTCTCTTTCTTCTGGATGTTTGTATGGTTTATTTGTTCATCTTTTGTGTTTAGTTTTTCAGTATCCTTATATATAAGACGTGTCTCTCATAAGCAGAAAATAGAATTTTAAAATCCAGTTTAACAACATATGTCTTTTAGTTGGACTATTTAGTCCATTGATACTTAATGTGATTACTTTTACATTTTGGGCTTGATCTGCAAATCATATTATTTTTTATCTTTCTTGCCTTTTTTGTTTCTTTTTCTCTACTCATTTTGAATTAATCAATATTTTATTTTATTCCCACCTCATTTTGAATTAATCAATATTTTATTTTATTCCTATCTGGTATTAAATTCTACATTTTTTGTCTCTTAGGCTTTAGAGCTTAAAAATGTTTTAATTGAAATTAATTCTTTTAATTATTATTGCTTTTTTCTGCTTCCACAGTGCAGGAACAAATTCTTTGTTGAAGTTGAGACATTTACAACTATAACATTCAAACTTGAATTGAGTAATGCCTGACTATATCTATGTTCTTTCTACCACTACTTCCTGACCATTGTAAGGAGAGACTCTTCTTCCAAATTAAGCCTAAATCTTCTCAGTTCTACAAATTAAAACTACAATAAATAAATGAAACCCATTCTATATATTATAACATTTCAGTTGTGTGGTGAAACCCGTATCTCCTTGAACATTCTCTTATTAAGATTCAAGAGCCTGAGATCACTTTGTTGTTCTGTATAGGACTGGTTTCCAGATTCTCTATTATCACAAGGGTGCAATTTTGAAAGCTAAACAAAAGTTAATCAATTTCACTCTTACGCTATAAATTTAGAAGAATCCATACTCCACTATGATTCTCAATATGATAAAAGCTAATAGAATGCTCTCTGAAACACTAGAAGTGATAAAAAAAGTAGAAAAATGATAACAATACCAAATAATAAAAAAACAGGATTTATGATTGGAGGACCACTTTCAGCAAACTAATTCTCTATGTCTTCATTTTAAATCTGATATTAAAATCAAAATTAAAGAGAATTTTCAGATAATGCACAGCTAAATATATGTGTATTATACATATAAAAAGATGTATATTTGTTTCCCATTTACTTGGTATAATTTTATCATCATCATCATCATAATAATGAAATTAATTTTAAAAATTCACAGCATCACTTACAGGTATAGATAAAGAAATAGTCTCAGAGAAATTAAAATATTTGACATAGTTGGTAAGCTCCAGAACAGAGAGTGGTATGCAGATTTTTTTTTTCCTGGCTGGGAATTTTTTTCCTGTTACTCTGTGGTCAAAAATGTTTTTTGCAACTGGCAAGTAGGGTCCTATAAGTCAGCTTCTCTCTAACACTAAATTTTCTTTCTAACACTAAACATCAGGTCCTTCAAACTCTTTTACTTCATGGTAGCCAGATGGCCATCCCCAAAATTCAATAATCTTGGTCCCCTCACAAAAAAAAGAATTAAATCCTAATTTATTCTATTTAGGCTCCTGAAATGTGCTTTACCATGAATAAAATGGAGAAAATCATTTCAGTATACTATCAGTTGTTTTGAAACTCAACTTGAAAATACACTGATGTTTATTATTTCAGAGCACTTTTCATTGTAATGGTGAAGTTTCACTTTGGCATACATCAGACAACTTGCCAGACAATTTGGTTTCAAAAATTGTTGTAGTAGCTTTATTAAAAAATGATTGACTGTCTTATGGTAAGACACATAAGACACGTTTCCTCTCCTTTCCTTCATTCTTAACTTTTTGTCTCTTTTGATGTATATTCACTAAAATGGCTGAATTTGTGCATTCTCTCCTATGGAAAATTGCATGTTTTCCATCTCTCATTTCTTGTTTCTTTTGACTCCCTTCTTATTGCCTTTTGGCCTCTTCCCTTGACCTGTTTGTCCTACATCAGAGAACCACCCTCTAATGACCATCACCTATCACCCTAAAGTCTTGGAACATGAGGAATGGAGATAATCCTTTACTCAGAACAAAAGATCTTCCTCTTGATTCTTTTCTCCTCCTGACTCTCTGCTCTTAATATGGCTTCTCTATCACAGAATACAAACTGAAGAGCACAGCTGCTGTGCTGACCTAGGCAAGTGTGTTTTGGATAGATGAACTTTCAGAACACAACTTAAAAATAAGATAGTAGGAGGGCTGGGGATTTAGCTCAGTGGCACCGTGCCTGCCATTCAAGTGCAAGGTCCTGAGTTCAATCCTCAGTACCAAAAAAAAAAAAAAAAAAAAGATAGTAGGAAAACTTTGACTGTCTTGTCCCAGAGAATGTATAGAGATCCCAGTGCACTTCTGGGGACTTGCAGCAGGACCCTTCTTCCTCTTTTCAGAGAGTTTAGGCTATTCGTTAGCACATAGCATGCCATTCTTCTCATTATTTAAACATGATTGACTCATTTACCAAAGCCCGAAGACAAATGCTCTTTGTCTCCTCCTTAGACAAACAAATAAAATGGAATACATGGTAAGCGCAAATATGAGCAAGAGGCGTGGTATCCATGGTATCGCATCCCTGCTGTTTAAGAGACTGCACCTAAAACAGGACAGCCATATGCTACCAGTCAGTGAGTCTATTTCTAGATCAGAGTGGAGTCCTAAGCTCTCTCCCATCCAACCTATTTAATGATTATGGCAGCTGATTCATGAAGATGAAGGCAACATACTGAAAGGTGTGCTATTTCTACACTCCACCATGACCGCACTTGACAGATGCAGTTACTCTGTGATAGATATGAAGGGGAAGTCACCCAAGGTCTCAGCTCTGGAATTCAGGGCTGTTGTTCCATCTTAATTGTTATCTCTGGTGGCCTAAAGTGAAGATCATCTCCAGGAGTGTATGACTTGAGAAATTTGTAGATAGATAGACGACATTAATAAATTCATTTTCCTGCCTTGGTTCTTTTTCCTATTCTCTTGTTATGAAAACATATAGAATATAAGTTATTGCTAAAATGGTAGATTTCTCAGGATTATATATAAATTCAAAACATTTCTATTATGGCTAAATCTTAAACTACAGCTACATAGCCTTAGGGAACTCTACATTTAGATGCTTTTAATAAACGCAAACATTTGATTTTTGAGCAGATATTTCCATAAAGATTTTCATTATATATATATATATATATATATATATATATTTTGCACATCATAATAGAGATTTAGGCTCAGTTAAAATTTTAAAATGGGAATATCTGCATTCAAAGAAATCATTAAGGCAATAAAATCATTACTTTTCAAAATACAAATATATCATTTTAATAGCTATTATTTCCTGGGAATTTCTAGATATTATTTTTAGTAATAGATGTTTATAATTTGTCACTAATATGAAATTATACACACATTATGGACAGAGTATGGGATATTTTTGTGTATAGTATCAAATTATCTAGGATGATGAGAAAATACACACTGGGCTCTACATGACTGTAAGACCATAGTCCTATCGACATTCCCAGTGTCTTTGAATTCAGATATTATCCCTTCCTAGCTGTGTGACCTTTCCCATTGTTTCTGTTTTCTTTAGAATATCTACTCTGACATACTGAAAGGTCAGTTAATAATATCTCCGATTAAATGTGCATTATGGCCCACAGAGGGGGAAGTTGCCATCTGGTCTAGTTTTACCCAGGCAGAAAAATGCACAGCTAATTGTCACGTTCTCTTGCCTTTCTCTCCTCAACTGAAAGTCTTCAATGAAACTTTTAATTATCCCTTGACCTTATCATTTTCTTTCTATATCTGTGACCTTGGAGTCTTCTTTGATTCCATTTTCATTTGCTCTCCACATCCTATTGTTGAGACTTTTTGACTGGCTGCATTTTTTGCCTCATTAAAAATAAAGAGCTTTATCTATTTCCTACAACTTGACTCTGGTTACACCAAACATCAACTCGATCCTGAAAACATCTCAAAAGTAGGTACCTTGTCCTTGGAAATGATTTCAAATTCTCCACAGTTCTTAAGACAGCTTGTTCATCAGAGTGGATGGTCATTGAATACCCAACTGATAATTACACTTAAATCTTCATTGCAGAAGTCCATTCATTTGGAAATGTAGAAAAAATTAAACACTTAATAAAACATGCCAGTATTACTCATTTTCTCCTCCATTTTTCTGCTGTTTGAGTTAAAGTTCTGTGGACATTTGGGAATTTGAAAAATAGCTCTGAAAACCACAAAGACTTCACTAATGTTAACAACCCTGAATCCCTCTGAAAAATAAGCACCTGCTCTTCTTATTTGCTATAATAACAAATGCCTGGTATTTGCACAGGTCAAACAGGTTTTTTTAGATTTTTCAAAAGGCAGTTATATGACATTAAGACTGTAGCTGTAGCAGGGCAGTAGTAATAAGATTGTAATTAAATATCAGAGGCTTCTGATATTATGAAAATACTATGGCTAAATATTAATTGAGAAAGTTTAGGCAGTGGGAAAGCCTTAACTTTAATATACATCTACATGTTATAGTCATGATTTCACTTGCAATGGCATAAAGAACAAGTCTAAGATGATACTTCAATTGTTAACAGATTTTTATATGCTTACTTATCATTTAGTTTAAAATAATGTTTTGGTTAGCTACTAGAGTGACAAGCTGATTAAACCTATAAATATTTTAGAAAAATAGAAAGCGAAGGACTTAGCTATTTACATGTTTGTTACCCATTTTAAGTTGTAAACAGGTATTGTTGTTAGCAGGAATTATTTTTTTTCCTATAGTATACTCAGAGCCTATTCCAGTGTTTGGCCTATACTGGGTGCTTGAGTAATAAGTGAATGAATGCTTAATTTTAAAACCCTGAACACATATACTTTGAAGGTCTACAAGAAAATTTATTATTTACTGCCCTAATAAAACATAATTCAGGTAAAAATTCTATAGCTGCATTCTCTAATATGGTATCCACTAAAATACCATAGTCTATATTGTGGCTGTTTACATTTAAATTAAAATTAATAAGATAAAATAAAAATCCACTTCCTCAGTTGCATAGTCATATTTTAACTGTCCAAAAGCCAAATCAGGCTAGTGGCTGCCATACCAAAAAGTGCAGATATTGAAAATTTTCCTCATTGCAGAAAGTTTTACAGGACAGCACTTTTCTAAAGAGTATAATATTTTCTCCGTATTAAAAAAACCACTGGGTTAGTCTATAAATTCTAATATATGCCAGATATTTTGTAAATATGAATATCCTTAACTTTACAAAGTTCTTGGGAGGACCTATACTAAATATTTGTTTATCCCTCTGCAGGTTTGCAATAGTCTTATAATTCTTTTTGGTTCTTTAAAAGCTTTTTAGAAAACTTAAAATTCTATGGAGGAAAAAAAGTGGTTGTCATTTGTGCCTGCTAAATATTTAGACTGCCAGGTCTTACTTGCAAAACTCTCATCCAACAGGTCTCATGTGTCTTCCTGAAGCCAATCTTCCAAGGTGATTTTGATGCAAGTGGCCTAAGGGCCACATAGTGAAAAATTTAGCCCTAAGATTATAAGGATTATACTTTTCCTTCATTCAAAATACACTGGGCTTCTCTCTTATGGATCCTATTCTAGGTACTATGGTTATAAAAATGGAGAAAAAGAGGGCATCAGTGAGAATAATATCAATAGCCACCTTAACCACCGCTTTCTGTTCAAACTTGGCCCAGGTTTCCCCCAAGTAGAATCTTTGTATTTTTCTGTATGCAAAGGACTTAATAGTGACAATACAAGCAGTAAGAGAGGAAGAAAAACAAAAGGGAGAATGAGAAGGAAGAAAACAGGAAAGATGAGGGAAAGACAGAAGGGAAAGGCAAATGAGAAAAGAAAAAAGTAAGGACAGAAAGGAGAGAAAAGTGAACGAATTCAAGAGGCAAGCAGGAAGGAGAATGGATAGAACTTGGTGATTGAATGTGGGGAAGGACAATATGCAAAGGAAAAGAGTCTGGGGTGGCATTAGCTTTCTGTCTTAGGTTGGTAGAGGGCAGGAACATTCACTTAAACAGGGAATACAAACAGAATAGCAATTTATGCGGAAAGAAGATGGTTCAGTTTTGGTATGCTGTCTCTGATAATTTCAAGCAAAGACATCCAGAAGGCAGCTGGGCATTCATTTATAGAGCTTTGAAGATAAAGATTTTGGATGCACCGATGTTACATGAAACCATGGGAATGAGTGGAATCATACAAGAAATAATACAGGAGAATGAAAGCATACTGGGGGGAATGCAGGGAATGCAAGGGAGGCAGAGAGGCAGAGGGCACAGAGAGGAGAGAGAGAGAGAGAGAGAGATCAGAAGGATGGGAATTTTGTGGGCATCTGTGTTTTAACAGTGGTTCTTAACTATTACGGGTTGATGACATTTCTGAAAATAAAGTGATTTCTAGAGAATTTCTAATTTTATAGATTTCCACAATTTTGTGACTTCTAAGGTACTGAGACTCTTGTTGAGAATTTCCACAGATTCATGTGTTGAAAGGTTTAAAAAAGAAAGGACCCAAGGGTCGGGGATTTAGCTCTGGTTTTGCCGCCTGCCACGCAAGCTCAAGGACCAGAGTTCGATCCTGGTACCAAAAACAAAAACAAAAACAAAAACAAAAACAAAAAAAGAAAGGATCCATGAAGAACAATGAGAAGGATGTCAAATAGGAAAACCAGTTTCCCAACCCACAGAGATTTGTTTATCTGATCTAATGTAACAATATTTTCTTAAGTTTCTGTTTATAAAATCAGGAAAGTAATAATTTCTCTCCATTTCATTTTGAGTTTTCTTTTTTTGAATCACAGAAACCATGATGTAGTTAACCTAGGAAAGAGAGTTTCTTAGGGCATATGAGCAACTCCAAAATGATTTTCTCTTCCATGTAGGTGTTCGATTGGGGAAAGCAAGGCCGACATACATTTGTGTCTTATTGGGATCCCTTCCTTTTATGTCACCCTTACCTACAGACGTGATGACTACAGTGAAACGAGTTTCATCTTGCCTCCCAGTTACATTGTTGTAAGCACAGCACACAAAGTCAGTTGTCTTCTGGGCTACCTTGTCCGACGCAACTTCCAAGAGAGGCCCATGCTTAATGACATACGTTGCATTTTCAGTATTCTGGATCCAGGAGTAGATGTTAGGGGGATAAGAGTCAGCTGAACAGTCAAATAGGATGGCTTCTCCGAGGTCAACAGTAAACACTTCCCCTACTTTTAGCCCTTTATCAGAATTAACTCGAAGTCCATAAGGTCCATCTGTATCAATGTAAAAAAGAAATGGAGGGGTAATAGAAATAATCACAGCATAAGTTTTGGGTTTGGGAGAGCCTTTTATTTTCTTAGAAAATCTTCACATTAGATTGGAGAAAACATATTCTTGTTTAGACTCCAAATATACGATGAGGACCTAAATATGTTTCATTTTGATATTCATGAAAATTGAAGTTATTTTAGATGTGCTTGAACTTATTTGAAGTAGTAAAACCCTAAAGCTTAATTTACAATTTTACATATACTTTCATTATCATTGTGATGTTAAACTTTTCAATAATGTATTAGTAAATGTAAAATCTTGTCAAAAATGAAATTTTTCTGAAATAGTAATTGTAATTTGAAACCTTTTTTCAGCACATTATGACCACTATTTTCTCTTTGGCAACCATGCTTTGAATGCTGTATTTCTCCTCAGTGCTAGGATAGGTCATGCAAATATTTATCGAAGACCTAGTTTCATAAGGAACACAGATTTGTGCAAATAAATACAGGAGTGTTTCATATTTTCATAACATTTTAATAGTTAAATAATTTTAAAAATTCCTTCACCTTATCTAAGCTTAGGACTCCATTTGGAAAAATATTATCTTCACTTTCATTAACAAGTATCTATTGATCACCAATAAACCACTTAATCATGGATATCCCATGGTGTTTTTCTCACACTACAATACTCTTGTAGCATATTACTATTCCTATAGGATCTGATCTCCTCAAATGAAGACACATGTCCATTGCTTTTTTCAGAGAGAGAGAGAGAGAGAGAGAGAGAGAGAGAGAGAGAGAATTCCCCAGCTACATAAGTTTTCCCACCTAATCTAAATCATGGTTTATAGTCTAAAAACTTTCATATTTTAGGCTGACTGCACTCATATTTTAGCTGATCATAACTGATATTTATTGTATATTTGCCATGTAAAGATACTTTAAATGCATATACATATGACTCCACTTAATCTTTAAAGCAACCATATGAGGTACATGCTATTGTTCCTATTATAAGATTTTAAAAATTTGTTTGCACATGGTCACACAGCTATCAAATAGCAGAGCTAGGACTCCTAAAATATATGTATATAATCTTTCATATTACTTCCCTAAAAAGAAATAAAGTATAAGTCATATAATTTTCTACATCAGAATATTTTCTTGTTCCCTAATTATCAGTTCTACAATAACTTATTTTCTAATTGTGTATTAATTCTGTAATTAGTGAAATAGTCACTCAACAAATGTTTGAGAGATACTAGTTGTAAGGTAATATATTTAGTATATGAGAAACAGAAACAATTTGTAATCTTAAGAAATTTGCAGACTGGTTTCTTCCATAATGACCTGATATCAAAAGTCCTGATTTTGTTTTGAAAAAGTACCAATTACTCATTTCTAAATACATGTAATAATATAATGTAGTCTCTAGACCTTACAGTAAATAATTTTATCAATCATTAATTAAATGTTCTTTAGAAGTCATTTAAATTTTTTTCATCTCACTTTCCTCATCTTTTCATATAAAAAGTGTTTCATGACTGTTACTCCTAAGGTTTTTTCTATCTTTGAAACACCATGATGCTACTTTAAAGTTATTTTGGATACTGGCAAGCCAGTCTCAAGTTTTCAGATTCCCAGAGCAGTTCTCCGTGAAGTAAGCATCTTTTTTTTTTTTTGGTACTAGGGATCCAACTTGGGACCTTGTGCTTGTGAGGCAGGTGGCAGAAGTCAGCATCTTTTGACTAATGTACCACTGGGGAAACAAATTTCCTAAGATAAAACAGAAACTGATGATACCAAGCAATGTATTATATTTAGCTAAGAAACATAGACTTATACAGATTTGCTTGCTAAAGATGTGGAGAAATGAGAAGGAAATGTATTAGTTAATTCTACTTTCAGTAAGCAAACCTAGAAACTAGTCATCATCCCTTGATATCCTAGGAGATTGCTTCTAGAATCACCCCCAGGATACCCAAATCTGCAGATGCTCAAGTCCCTGATATAAAATGGCATAGTATTTGCATATAATCTACATATATCTTTCTGTATATTTTACATCATCTCTAGATTACTTAGTCTGAATACAATGTAAACGTTACACGAATACTTATAATACCTTATTGCTTAGGAAATAATGACCTGAAAAATATGTACGTGTTCAATACACATGCAATATTTTTTCAAATATTTTCAACTGAGGTTGGTTAAATTTGTTGTGGAATCCGTGGACATGGAGGCTGGACTGTCCTCTAAAATTTAAAGTAATTAGAAACTGGAGGTGGAGAATTAAAATGAGGTATATCTTCCCCTTACCTGTGACTGTACCAGGACTTTGTCACACTGTTCTCTCCCTTCAGGCTCTGAAGGAGTCTCAGGTGAAACCACTGGGGTAGGGTTTAGAACAATGTACTTTCTGTAAAGTGGAAGCCTCTATGTGAATTTTACTAAATATAAGTAGTGGAATGGGAATGAAAATTTGCTGTTATTCACTCAACCAAATGAATTATAAAATGTTACTCAGTGCCTCTAGACCTTACTATGTGCTGCTGGTTCCTGAGGCTGCATCTCAGGCAGCAGTGTCCCTTTGGGTGTCACACTGATGGAATATTAAGGAAGCAAATGCTTCTAACAAGGGGACCCCAAATATGGTTCACATGGAAGGAAACCAATGGGAGAAATGGGCTGTGGTTGGAAGTGCAAGAGACCTGAGTTTATATGTGCAAACTAAACTTGAGAGCAGAGTAAGGCAGACTTGATAAAGAAGACAAGTGTGATCATAAAAATATAGTCATTCAATTTAGACCTTTGTCTTCCCCCTGGCTTTTTTGAATGTGGCTGTAAAAACAGATTGCTTCAGAATTTAACACATATAGGGACGATTATTACTTTTTTCAGCGTGCTCACATTGTTCAACACTGTTTTGTGAACTCCTCATTTGGAATTGCTTTAGGACCTTACAACATAATGGAGTATTCTCACAAGTGGTAATTCTCCAATTGTGGAGAGTGCATTCACTTTTAGAAAAAGCCCAGTCATTTATAGCCAATGCTGGTGAATAAGGACAATTATTGAATTTAATAAAATCACTGTAGTTTAAATTAAAACGTAGTTTTAAGGAGAGGAACCCGATTATCTTAACTTGTCTTCTCTATTCACTTATGTTTGATTTTTTTTTTTTTTTTTTTGGTACTGGAGATCAAACTCAGGACCTCAAACTTGCCAGGCCGGGGACAGAACCACTGAGCTAAATCCCCCGACCCTTATGTTTGATTTTGCTACTTAATTTGTTGTGTATCACGACTGACAGTTTTTTCTTTCCTTCTGTATATGTTATATCTGGCTCTTCATAGCCTCCAACCCCTCAAATTGTTGACTGTGGTGGTGCATGTCTGTAATCCCAGTACTCAGGAGGCTGAGGAAGGAGGATCGCCATGAATGAGTTCAAGGTCAGTCTGGACTACATAGTGAATTCAAGACCAGCCTAGACTACACAGGCAGACCCTGTCTCAAAAAACAAAAAATAAAACAAAACAAACACCTCAAATCCCCTAGCTTCTCTCTGCTCTATGAGCAGCTCTTCTAGATCTTGGAACTCTACACCTTGAGGCATTTAGATTCCTTACTTTTGGTCTGGAGGTGTAGTTCAGCGGTAAAGCACTTGCCCAGTGCTCTTGGTTCAATCCCCAGCACCATAAAAAATAAAATAAATTCCTTGCTCTGATATAATTTCTTAAAATGCTACATATTTTACAGTGTGATTATATGGTCTAAGAAATACATGTTCATTGCAAAAAAAATAGTAAAATTCAGAGAAGCCCAACACTGAAGAGTCATTTGTAATTTTACCACTCAGAGAACCATCATCTACATTTCAATGTGTGACCAAATCTTTCTCTCTGTCTCTCTCTACCCCTCACATACACAGACACAAACCTGTCCAGCTATATCTCACATTGTACATGCTGCTTACGATCTATATTTTCTGACTGCACTATGATGTTATTTCCCTTATCATTAGCACTTCCTTTTACTTTGAGTTGGAGCCTAGAATGTTACTAGAATGAATGGGCAATCTGGTTGGAGACATTTAGAGTGACCCAACCACAGCAGAAGGATAGTCCATTTTGATGGGATCATGGTTCACTTTCTTGTTTTTGACAGGGAGTTCCCCATGGAAATGAACTCTTTGCCTCAGGAATGGCTGTTTACTAAACGACTTGTAAAATCACATATCATCTGTTCTTTTTAACAATTTATGGCTGGGTGGGAACAATACCTAAATTTCCATCATGATGCTGCTTGCCACCCTGCTTGGGAGCAGATGGTAAGTATTTACTGTGAATGACCTTTTTTTCCCCTTTAATTTTTATCACTTAGAGTACTCCCCTGCAGCAGTGCCATATGTTACACACAAAATATGGTGGCTACTGGGTTATTATTCACAGCTGGAGCTAGAAGGCATACACATTTCACACGTAGATATCTATCTGAATTATTGACTTGACATTGTATTCCACCAAGGCCGATATCAGTTTATGACATCATAACCTCATAAATATGCAATTAATCTTGCTAGATTTTGTTGAACTTTCTTTCTGTCAAAATAAAAAAAAAGTTTCTGCTTTCATGAAGAAAACTGTCAAAGAAACAGTACTTTTAGGAAACAATATGGTTTATTCATGCTAGAATTCTAAATTATGATGTGGCTCTCTATGGGGGAATATTAGAATATGACATTTACCTGGTTATTGAAGAACTTTGCTAAGGGTCAGGGAAAGAAAGGGTGGTGGTGGGGTAAAGCACTGCAATGATGAAGCTGTCATCTTATAGTGGGAATGTAACCTTTCCAAAGTCTCATCAAGTAACCTGGAATCTGAAAGGGGTATGCACAAAGATAATGTGTTCTATTTTAGTCAAGTTCAAAAATCTTATTTAAGTCTTAATCTGTGTCCGGTGTTGCTCTACAGATACAAAGGTGAGACTCTCATTTGGGGATGGGGTGCTTATGTGTGGAAGAGAGTAAAGGAAAGCAATGCAGCGAGGGCCAGGGAGAGGAAAGTCTCGTGTGCTGCAACTGCACAGCGAAATGCAAGTGATGTTGAGGAGGTGAGGTGAGTGGGGACAGGTGAGCCTTCCCAGAGAAGATGGCTTCAGAAGAAAGAGGAGGGCAACCAAGTGAAGGGAGAGCAGCGGGGATAAACTCAAATATGGCACCAATTCCCACAGATCGCAGCATGCTGCTGGTACGTGAGGAATAGGGCAAGGGACAAATCTTGCACTTATTTAATTCTTGTTACCCAGAAATAAGAAAAAGAAAAGTAAAACAAGGCTGAGATGGTGATAACAAGAAAAACTATTAAGTTGAGCCTTTTGTTTTTCTATATGTTACAAAATAGGTAATAATTGCTTAGTACAAACAAGACTCTTCCATTTCTAATCAAATCAAACTAGGACTGAGTGAATGAATGAATATCAATAAGATGAGATGTTGGCCAAGTATGTGTTCCTGCATTTGAACATAAAAATAATCTAGACAAAAAATTAATAAAACTATACTCATGACTACCAATTGGGTCAAAATCTTTCTTAACTATGTAGATAATTCATCTTTACAATGTGTAAATAGAACCCACATTTGCAAATTTTCTTTTTTCTATTGTCAGTATATACTGGTAGTAAAATTTCATAGACTACATCTGAAAGGATATAAAGAAAAAAGGTCGTTCCATAAGTAGAAGGTATGTTTTGTGAAATATGAACTTACTCAAATTGAAATACTTTAATTTTTCCAAATAACACAGGAAAAGAAAGACAGGAGTCTAAAGCATACTATTTAACATTTATAGGTCTGATTATGTTTTTCTTCTCACATTTTTATATTTGTCACACTGTGTATCTGTATATTCTATGACAATGAGATTGGTACAAAGACTTAACACATGTTGACAGACAGATCTTATTTTCACTATTCCAGATTAAAATAAACTATATAGTAAAATAAACGTGTCTTTCAAAAATAATATTTTTACAATATTGTGAAATAGGAAGAAAAGGTCTAAAGGAGTTGGGGGAAATGGGAGGGGTAGGGGAAAGGAAAGAAGGGAAAAGAATAAACATGAGAAAAGGAAAAAAATGGAAACAAAGTCTTTGCAAATAGGGAAGGGTGGAGGGGGTGAAGGGAGGGCAAGGGAAGGGGAAAAAATAAGAACCAAGATACTCATGTAATGGTACAAGATTCCAATGATGAATATAACTGTATTTTTTTTTTGGTACTGGGTATCAAACTCGGGTCCTTGCGCTTGTTCAGCAGGTGGTGAAATCACTGAGCTAAATCCCCGGCCCTGTAACTGTATTTTATACCTAAATAAACAATGAAAAAAAAATATTTTCATGTGCCTGTCATTGCATATGCAATTTTTCCCAGGAAATTTTAGGGTAAATTTATAGCAAGAGTTTAAAGGTAGGGAGGTAGGTAAATGAAAAGATATATAAATAGAAAGGCCTAAGGAAAAAAATTGATGTAAAGAAGATATTTTATTATAGAAAAATTAAATATGTTCAATTAAGAAATGATGTTTGGGGAGATGAAAATTCTGCTGTTTTTTCTTTTCAGGTGTCTTCTATATTATCTGGGATCTCCAGAACTTCTCACTATCATGTTGTCAATTATAGGTTTGGTTTAAAAAAAAGTAAAAGAGCTGACATTGATCGAGCTCTTCATATGTGCCCTACATTAATTTCCTAATTCCTTACATACTCTCACTTAATCCTCTTCACCCCTCTTGAGATAGATATCAGCATGACACTGGGGTCAGCCTGATCAGGTGATAAGGGAACTGATGCACAGGAAAAGGCAGTCACTTACATACACTGGTAAATGCAAGTTCAGGCTCAGACCTAGACTGTCCAAATGATTAGCTTGTGCTCATAATCACTCTCTATTGCACTCCCCCAAATGCATGATGTTTGCTACAGGACACAGTCAAAACCAAACGGGATGTGGCTTTCCTCAAATAACAAGAAATCCTTCAAGACAATCCCATTTCCTGTTGTCTTCCATCCATTAAACAATTGTTCTTTGGGATTAACATTCAGTATGTGATATCTGGCTGGTTTAATACCTTGTTTTGTACGGTATTTATTTTTTTATGTGAACATCAACTATTTAGATCAAGAAATCAGAATAACATAAGGTTGTGTCCACGTACTCCTAGATTTGATCCAGTTAGTACGTTTACATTTTCTTTTCCCTATATTTAAATACTTGGAGTTGAATGAAAGTTTTAAATCATGTCAAAATAACTTTATTGAGTCAAGAACACACATATAAACAGATTTCACCAAATCTAAGTTTTTCAGTCCAATGCTAGTCATGTAGTATATATAGTCAGATCTTTTCTTTGTGACTCTGTGTACAAGCCTATGCTTTAAGGCTGATAGAAAACTTCCACAGTGTTATCTGAAAATAAGTTTGTGTAAAATCATTGTAGGATACATAGCCACGGGTCCAGCTACAAAAATAATGCCATTGTTCCAAGTCCACTTAAATATCGCTTTGTGCAAGAAGTGTTTTCCCCAGTACTTTCTCCAGAAATAATATTTTCATCCTCTGTGCCAATAATGTTATTGTGATAGTAACGTAAACACTACTTACTATGAGCCAGTCAGTATTCAAAGCACTTTATGTAGAGTAACAGGTTTACTCTTCACAACAACTCTATGAGGTAAGCTACCATTATCACTATTATATAGTTGAAGAAACAGGCACAGAGAGTTAAGGTGGCCAAGCCAGGTTTGAACCCGAGCCTTTGTCTCCAGAGTTTCTGTTCCTACCTACTATGCAGCTGTGTATTTATTTTTATGATATCTATGACATTCTATTTCATGTTTCACTGTAAATATTCTCTCTCTTCTACTAAAACATAGAATAACGTCCAGTTTCAAGATTCAGTGATTCTCTTTTCTTAGCTTAGTCTCACTGGTGTAAACAAAATGTCTATGTACACCTGTATTACTACTTTGCTCTTCTCTTCTTCCCAGCAGTCCTTCCCTGCCCTATTGTTGGTGCTTTTAAGTTTCATCTGGTTGGGAAAGGCTCTATTTTGCACATTTACTGGTGAGGCTTTTCCAGAGTTAATAACACATTCCCTTGAAAGGACTCCATCAGTGCTCTATTGAAGAAAGTAGAATACAAATGTATTGATGATAAAATGGCCTCCATTTACCAAATGCTTGCTTTGGGTCAGTCATTTGCTATTTTTTTGCCTCATTTAACCATAACAATATGGTGAGGGGGTTTTAGATCTATCCATTTTATAGAAGAGGCTCTGAAAGATCAAAGGCTTTGCTTAATTAAGGTCATGCAGTTAATGACTAAACCCACTTCTCACTTCAGTGTGTCTGACTGCTAAGCATGTGAATGCAAGGTTTTAGTGCTTCTTCTGGTATTGTGAGGGTATCATGGGCAAGTGAGTGGATATATGGAACAAACGTAATTCTCTTCTTATAATGTAGCCAGGTGAAACCTCCACCATCATCCCACCGAGATCACAAGTTTTCCTTTGCCATACCCCACTTTTATTAAGCTCTCACTGCAGTCATGCTCTAAGCTACATGGTAACTGGTAATGAGTTTGATAGGCCATTGGTTCTCAACTGGAGGGTTTTGCCCAGTAAAGGATATGTGGCAATGTCCAGAGACATTTTTTTACAACTGGAGAGGGGTGCTATTGCTATACAGTGAATAGAGGTCAGGGAAACTGCTAACCACCTCTCCAGTCCATCTCCCACAGTAAATAGTGATCTAGCCCAAAATATCACCAGTGTACAGTCTGAGAAACTCTGTGCTAAGAGGAAATTAGGATGCAATGCTAAACATGTTAGAAGTAGTGCTATGGAGTAGAAAGGACTGGGAAAATAATGCAATAAGGAAAATGAAGGATTTTGCTTGGGCTAGGGATGGTAATGTGACATGAATTGAAGTTTGATAAACTTAACTCTGCATATGAGTTGTAACAGAAAATAGAACCAAATAAACAGATCAGAATACTAATAACAACAGAAAAAAGAACCGAAGAAAATTGAAATCCAGAAATACTCATAATTACCAATTCTGGGAACCTGATTTTACTGTGGAATAATTCAGTTTTCTCTGACTATGATGCTTCCTGCACTTTTCTTCTAATCATGGAACTGAGGAAATGTTCAGAGAGAACAGTCATGTACTGGGCACACTACCAATGCCTAACTCGGGAGTACTTTGTTTCCTTGGAGTCAGCCCCAGAGCACATCTCTCTCCCAGTTTATCATCACCAACTCTTCTTCTTGGGGGTGAATAAATTAGTTCCTGTGCATGGTTCTTGAAATTGAGATTCTTACTTTCCACTGCATATGAATTTATACAGTGGACTGAATCACAAATTATGTTCTTGATCTTCAAGAAGTAGGGTTGTGCTCATAGATACACGTATTTTATGACAAGACAGTGACTAGGAAGTGTTATTATTACTAGGGCTGAATGACAATAATGATAAAGTCATCTCATGTAGATATTCTCTATGCTTACTCTAGTGAGAACTTCTCAGAAACAATAAAAGTTCATTAGTATTTAAAAACAACCAAAACAACTTACAATATATGGTTGGCGTAATAATATCACTTTCCATTTCACTGACGGGGTTCTTCACAAGGCAACTGTAATTCCCAATGTCTTCTTTGGTCACTGGAGCAATATGAAGGGTGTTGTTTTGGGGAGAAAAAGAATAGGTAGAACTGGTATGGACAGGCTTCCCGTTTTTTAGCCACTGAAAAACTAGCCGGGTGCCTCCTTCCACCTGGCATGTCAGGGTCATGTTTCCCACATACTCCACAGCCCCAGAGGAAGGATGATTCTGCACCACTGGCTTTGTGACAGGGTCTGCAATATCAAGTGACAGAAATAATTTTTTTTTGTATCCAAGGAATTATAATAAAACTCCATAAAGTCTTTTAAATATTAAATCCTGGGGAAAGAACGCTAACACTTTATACTTTGCAAATATAGACTGCTTGGGCAATAATTACAATAAAATATCATGTAAAGTGCAAAATAATAAAATAACAAAATTATAGAACTTTCTTTTCACGGATTGCCTAATGAAACCCTTCACTCTGCAGATGATGTGTTTAGTGGTTGAGAGCTTTAGCTTTTTAATTTTCTGTTCATTGTGCTTTCTCCAATACCATAAAGGTATATACTCATAGGCAAGCTTTATATAGTTATTCGCCTTTCTTGGCTTGTCCTAATGTACCCAGAGCAGCTGAATGGAGTGAACATTTAACATCTTCAAACTATTCAGCTCATATAAGGTGTACTATTGGAGAATTGAGGGAAAGTTTTAGAGACTCACAAATGGATAATTTTATGTAAGGGAACTGATTATATGTTTTAATTACTTTGCATTTGTGTTGCAAGATTGTGTTAGTTTTTTTTTATGTTAGTTATTTTAACAAACCAAAGTCTACATTTCAACCCTGACTCAATAGAATAATAAGATAAAATACATTACTGGGATTATATCAAATTAGAGGTATAAAAGGCAATTATAATAGAAATTCCTATTGGAAAATCAAGTCATAGAAAATTAGTTTTATACTGCACTACCAGTACGGTACACAGTAGAAACTTAACATTGTATTTGTCAAATAAATGAATTTCTAAGAATGAGTAAATATTTCCTCTCTGAATTTTAACTCTGAAATTAATGAATATGGGTGAAAATTACATATGCATTGATAACCATTTCAGCAACATTCACCAATCTTTGAGTTTCTTGGCTCTTTATTGATTAAAAATAGTGACTTGTCCAGCATTACATAGAATTCAGTCCCAAAAGGGTCAACATTCAGTAGCTTTGAGTCTGGGAATGTTTCTCTCTTGCATTTTGGAGATATATATTTAATAATTTCCTTCACAAAGAGAATAAGATGACTCCCAAGGAACCAATAATTGGATCCATACTTAGTTTCCAATCAAACTTTTAGTCGAGGTGGATGCATTCTCCTCAGGCATATTTAACTTGAATCATACTCACATTTTCCTATAATGGAAAAATGTGCATCAGGACACTAACAGGCTAAACTTTCCAGCTCAGAGGAGAAAGAAATAAATGAAAGACAATGAGAAACAAGTGTGAAAGTAGTATGTAGACCAGATGAGTAGTTCTGAAAACTCCAGCATTTTTCAGTGTGGATGCAATCAACCCATTTGGTTTAATCTTTTATCTTTCCTGACAACAGCAAAGGCCATGGAATAGGATTTGTTTGTATTATTAATATTTAAAAGGCAAAATGAATGCTGTGCATTTATTATTTATAAAGCTTTGTTTTCAAGTGCATCTCTGTGTGGAAACATATGTGGTATGGGATAAATAAGTAACATGTTAATGGTAGAGGAGAAGCAATCATTAGAATAGTTACTAGCTTGTGATCATACACTTGCCTAGAACAGTATAACTCAGATGTGGAAGTTTCTCTTCTGAGAAGAATTTTTTCTCAGGCCCTAAAGGCATCTGAAGGCTTTACTCAATTTTTGGTTTCACTTTGCCAAAAAATTCCAACTTCACTGTACATTAACATATAAGGGATGTTCTATTAAAAGTACTGAGGGAAACAGAACACTACATGGGAAAGCCTCATCTGCTTCCTCAGCTTCCCTGAAGCACTCCCTGTCTCCTCTACTGCCGCTCACTACTCCACTGACGGCTACTAAGTATACTAATGACCAGCAAGGTTTTAGGCACTGAAGACAAAGCAGCAAACAATGCAAAGTCTCTGCTCCCCTGGACCTTGTAGTCTCCTTAGGGAAGAGAAGCAATAAACAAATAAAAATATGCAATATGCCCAGATGGTAATAAATACTACAAAAAAGAGAAAAACAGACTTGAAGATGGTGACTTTGTGACTTTATGGTGTGTGTGTTTGAGGAAGTGAGAGTACAGTTTATATAGGGTAGTTAGGAAAGACTTCACAGATAATGTAGTATTTGAGCTGAGACTTTAAAGGAAATAAGAGAGATATCAGGGAGAAAATCTATTGAGGTAGATTGAATACCAAGTACAAAGGTCCTGTGATGTGAGTGTTTGTCCGGTTCAAGGAAGAGCATGAAGAGCATGGCCAAAACAGAGTGAGGGAAGAAAGTAGAGGTAAGAACTGGATCAAGTAGGTGCTGGTATTCAAATAGGTTCTGGGAGGATTTCAAGCTGCAGGAGCAGAAGCAGAGAGACCAGGTGGTCAGCTATTAGGATGGGCCAGGCCACAGCTGGTGGGGTTGAGTAGGCAGTAAAGGGGCTGATGAGAAGTGGTCAAACTCTGTACACATTTTGAAGGTAAAGCCAACAAACAGGTTTCCTTGTGGCTTGGATGTGGGATGTATGAAAAAGCAATCAATGATGACTATAAGACTGGACTGAGAAACCGATAAAGTAGAATTAATATTTACTAAAATGAGAAATATTTTCAAATAAACAGGTCTAGAGAGAAAAATCAGAAGTTGGACTTTGGACACAGAATATTTAAGGTATGTCATTTACACATTTTGATAAGAAAAATAAACATTTTAAAATTAGCTGACCTCATTCTTCAGAGGACATTTCCAGAAACTTTTATTGCTGTTATGTATGATCTTTGAGCTAATTCTTCCCCAAATGGTGCTGGACACTGTACATATCCCTTATGTGCATGTCTAATTTAATCCTCAGAAAGCCTCATGAAATAGATAATAATGTTATCAGTGTAATGAGATGGTAAGGCTTTGAGGTTTAATTAATTCATCCGAAGTTGCATAGCCAGAACATAATGCCCACAAATTTTAGTGTCCTGAGCCTCTGCTGACTCTACACTAGCTTGCTATATGTCAGAGTAGACTCACCATCAACAGTGACTTGTATCTTCTGACTCGAGGATAGAGTTCCATTTCCTTGAATGTTGACCTTTACAATGTAATTGCCTTCATCATCAAACTGCAGTGGATTAATGAGCAGAGAAGCATTGGGTGGCATCATGGTGAACTTGTGCTGGTATTCCAAGTCAGGAACTACAGACTTATTCACAGAGCTCAATAAGTATTTGGGCATTGTGTGGGGTCTCTCAAATAGCCATATGATCTGGATGTCTGATGCCACAGTGTGGAAGCCATAGTGCACAGGGAGGTAGAGGGCTTGACCTCTGATGGCATGGACAGTGTGTGATGGCACTGTCACCTTCAGCCCGAAACAAGAACCTGATACAAAGGAAAGGAAAGCCGTGAAGATCCTCGGCCACATTTCATAATCCAAAAAGGCAACCGCAGAGAGAACTTGATCCGATGATAATCCTTTCCAGAGAAGAGACTTCTAAGTACTGACCATTCTAGTACCAGTTACATGTAGAGGTAAATATTTGCCTCTGAAATGTTCTGCATTTAAAAAACTCCACCCAAAGTCTACGTCGATTGCATGACTTCCCTAAATGCAAGATGAAAAGGAAAAGCAGAAGTTGTTGTCTATGACTGTTAAAGAATAATGAGAAAAGGAGAACAGAAACAGATTATTAGCTCTAAAGTTCAATGAAACCATTAAAACATTTATAATTATGGCTATATTATTGTCTATGTCATAATCTATCCTAATCAAACTATGTATTCTCAGCTTTTGGTGGGTTCAATCCTTCAAAAACAATTTCCCAAAGCTTTCTGAAATGGCTTAATATTCCATTTTTTGGAAGTCTTCCCCTTTAGCCAAAGCCTTGCTAATTGTAAATAACTCAAGGAGAGGGGCACTGAACCATGATCGGCATGACTGGTCATTCCTGCCCAGAGGAGGAATTGGACATGTACGAGGAACAGCAAAGGAGGGTCACAGATGAGCAGTGTAGAGGAGTAGGAGCACAGTAAGCCATGAGGTCAGTAAGGCGGCCAGGAGAGATGGGGTGAGACCACAGAATCAGGGGAAAGACTTTGGCAATATTACTCTGAAATGAAAATGCAACTAGAGTTTTGGCAGTAGATGGGGATATGGTTTTTCTTATGTTTTATGAGACTCACTGTAGCTGCTGTTTGAACTATGGATAAGAGCAGGAACAGAGAGACTCCTTAGGAGACAACTGCAATAAAACAGAGAATAGATGACAGTGTTATGGGTGGACCATGGTGGTAGTCAGGATATCATGGGAAAAGATTGGTGATGCTGAAAAGATTTGCTAACACAATAAAGGTGAGATACAAGATACAATGAGGAGTCAAGAATGATTTCGATGTCCTTGACTTAGCTGAATGAGAAGAATGGAGTTGCAACTAATAAATTTATCATGGATGGGAGAACTGGTTTTTATGGGGAGGCTCAGCAGGCAGGTTTGGTCATGTTCATTTTGAGATGCTCATTAGGCGTCCAAGAAGAAATGCCGAGTGGACAAAGTGGACTGGAAAGCCTGGTGAACGTGTTTAGGATTGAGTTAGAGGCCTGGTCAGCCCCAGGGTATAGAGCAAGCTTACTACACAGTCCTGGGCAGTTCCCTCTTTGTTTAGGTCCAAGAATTTGCAGCTGTGTCTCATGTTTGCAGGTTTCTTAATAGTTTCTGGTACCTTGGAAATAGCCCGATTTTATATTAAACCATGATAGGGGCCAGGGATTTAGCTCAGTGGCGTTGCGGCTGCCTGGCAAATGCAAGGTCCTGAGTTCGATCCCCAGTAGGAAACAAAAAACAAAACCCATGGTATATTATTTAATGTTATTTAGTATTTCTATGCATTTACAATGAAAAGAGAGTCCTCCTTAGCTTAGACAACCATGTTTCTAAAACTCTAGGTGCTTTGCTTCCAAACCTTCATTTTAAAAGGGGAAAAATATGGTCTCTCCATCATAGGAACATTTGAGATTGTGGAGAAGAGAATGGGGGAATTTAAATGTGGAATATTTTGAACTGTGTGTGAGAGAGAAAAAGGCAGCGGAGACAGTGAGAGTAGATACTCTGGAGAAATTTACTGTGGAAAGCAGCAGAAATATGGGGTAGGAGCGGAGCAGGTTTGTAAAGTGTAAATCCAATTTTTAATTATGAGGAAAGATGCACTAGAAAGGGAAATGTTGAAGGAGTAGAGATGGGTGAAGGTAGAATAAAATCCTGGAGTAGATGAGGATAGAAATTAGGCATAAATGGAAAAATTTTACCATTTCAATTTTCCCATATACAAAGTATTTGTTCTCTTGATTGCTTTTCCTTTTCACTGTTATCAGGAAGGGAGGCTCTTTAGGCTTCAAGAGGTCATGTTGTGGAAAATCATTGATATAAAGAAGAGAAAAGTAGAAAAAGCTCTGATTTTCATGAGGATTTCTTTGGAGAAACTTAAACATGTAGTCCTGCTCTTAGAAGAAACAAATTCAACCAACAGTAAATTTCTCTTTTTCCTTTCCTAGCAGAGGTGGGAGCAAAGATTTCCACTGTTTTGGCCTATGGCAAGCTGTAAGTAGAGAAGGAGACTCTGGGGCTGGCAGGGAAGTTAGAGAAAAGAATTCTGGAGGAGAAACACAAAGTGGAAGAGCAGAGAGGTTAGAAAGAAAACAGACTCCTAGAGCCTCAACTGAAAGCAAACAGAAGGATGGAAATGCATATGACTACAGGGTAACAGACTCTCTCTTACAGTCTCCTTGGTCTCTGTGTGTACTTGTGGTTAATATAATTTTTTTTGTGATAATGGACTGTACTTGTACATCCACTTCAGTGATCTGTCTGTTCACCAGCACTACAAAGATATGAGGGTTTGCCTCTTCGTTCAGTTCTGGCAAGTTCAAGAATGTTAAATTTGGAGACTTTCCCCCCCTAATCTAAGTGATGAGAAAAAGAGGAACTATGTGCTGGAAAATCTGTAGGGAAGATAAAGTGAATTTCAGAAAAAGTCGGGGTTTTCTCTGGGACATGATAAGAGAGAGAAAGGAAGATGGGAGAATAAATCAGTGTTTTAGAACTAGTGATGTCAATTGGGTGTGATGGCACATGCCTGTAAATCTCAGCACTCTGGGAGGCTGAAGCAGGAGGACCCCAAGTTTGTGCTCAGCCTGGGCAACTTTGTGACTTAGTGAGATCCTGTCTCAAAAAGGGGGTTGGGTGGGGATTTAGGTCTGTTGGAAGGCTTTTTGTTCAATCCCCAGTACTGAAAAACAAACAACCAGTGATGTCTAATGTGAACCAGAGGCTGGGTGGTGGTGGGGGTGAAGCTCTTGAAATCATAGATTTATAAAGACATTGGGCATTTGGATGGGAGCAGAATAGAAAAAGATTCCTTCAAGTGTAGGTGTTTTCTGCACAAAACAAAATCATTCACATGCTTTTCACTTAAGGGGCTCTGGAACAGTTCCTGGTAATCTACAAATTAAAAACTAGTCTTTTAATACCCATCATTACTAACTTAAGATATGTAAAATATAACTTTCACTACATTGTACAGAGTATTGCAGTCTTCTTTTTTATTTGAGTGAAAATTAAAATATCTATGAGGGTCTCATTGTTCAGTTCTGATCTTGGATTCCTCCTCTGCTATCCACTAGTTAGTGTTAAAACTGTCAAGTGTAAATTGCCCTGAAATAAGGGTATTCAGGAATCTATTCTCTGAACTTGCAGTGAGATCACTAGACTAGATACTTTGATAAAGCTAAAAATCCACTGAAATATGAGGTCTCAGTAAAAGTCATACGTCCGGGATAAAATAGTAATTGTGACCTTAGATAAGTTGTGTTACTTATCTCAGCCTGTTATCTCATTTGTGAAAACATACCAATATTAGATGAAGTCTAAGGCCTTTCTTGAATGGTTAAATGTTTATGTCTTAACACCCTGAGGTGATTTTCTCAGGGTAGCAGCTACCTGCATTTGAAGGTGAAGGGCTCAAAGAATTTTGAAGCATTGAGTCTCAGTTTCTAGTTCACTTGTTAAGTTGTCAGTCCTGGATATTATTAATGAAGTGCTGGGAATTCACATTAATGCTTTGAGAATGCACTGGGAAAAGCTGCACAGCCGCTGACATAAAATGATACAGCTGCCTCTGCCGGGGAGCAGTTTTGCCATTGACTTCTCTGTCCATTTAAGACATTTCACAGTTCAACCTAGATACTACTGCTAGACTGAGATTCAAAGTAGATACTCCAGATGCAATTTTAGCTGATCTGCTTGTCATTTGCAGAAGTCGTTAGAGAAGGGATTTTTCTTTTTATGGGGGGCGGTTAATGTTTTGTTTTTTAAGGGAAAAAAACCCTTCTTGTCTATCTTCCTTATAATTGCAGTTGAAAATGATAGACTGGGATTTAGGTAACATTCTGGAAACGGTTGGGAGGGACTGCACCACTTTAGATCGAGTATGGAATGGAAATGTTGCTGACTTTTGGATCTTGATTCAGAATGCTAGATTTTTTGTTTGTTTGTTTTGGTAACGGGGCTCAACTCGGGTCCTTGAGCTTGCGGGGCAGGAGGCAGAACCACTGAGCTAAATCCCTGGCCCAGAATGCTAGATTTTAAGTATAAAAAGACTAGTTAGGGTGTCTACAAGTAAAGTTATGAGAAGAAAATTTTATTTAAAAAATATTAAATATAATACAAATATTGCGGCCCAGAGGAAAACGAGACTACTTTAGCAGAAGATAATTCTTTCTATGGCACTTACAATCATTGTTTAAGGTCGTGGTGGGGATCTAATTCTTTAGGCTATTTTAGAGACTGTATCCTGTAATAATACCTTAAATAATATATTGCCATTGACATCACTGAATATATTCAATGATTCCACATCAAATGATAAAAGTTGTTCAAACATATATGCTTTCTTTTCAAATAGGTATATGACAGTGACAGCAGAACTCTTACAATAGCTGTGTGCTTATAGGTTGCCTACATTATTTTTATGAAATAAGTTATAAGTAACAAGCTATAAAAATGCAGCAAGGAATCAATTTTTTAAAACAGTATCTTATTTCACTTACCTAGAACCTCTGCATTTTGGGGGAAGATATGAATCTACTGGTGATATAGTCCTTACGGTAAAATTTAGGGAACAAACAGATAATTGGATGTTTTATCTACATTTTTAGAATGCATGCTACTCTTTCCACTGATGTGTTTTCTAGTACCGATTTGACAAATTCATGCTGGCAAACATAATAGTTTATTAATTTTAGATAAATTGGCCTCATTTTGAGAAATTTTTAAGCGCTCTTTTCTGGTTTTGTGAGAAAACCCAAAGGACTAAAACTAGTGATTTTAGAAAGCTATCTTCTGTATGAACAATTAAACTTCAGGAAGATAAATAATATAAAAAATTAAAGAAATTTTAACTTCTCCTCGATACTCCAAGTATTTGAACTTAAACAGATTAAATTTTATTATATTCATTGATATTTTCTGAGTATAAAAAGAAAGAGACCTTTTGCATCTAAGGCAGTAACACTAAAGAGATTGGTAATTCCATTTACAATCTGGCATATAAAATTTCTTTTTTAGAGACTCTTTTAAGATGCAAACAGTATCTTTAAAAAGTATACAGTTTTGGGGCTGGGGATTTAGCTCAGTGGTTCTGGCACCTGCCTCGAAAGCGCAAGGACCTGAATTTGATACCCGGTACCAAAAAAAAGCAAAAAAAAAAGTATACAATATTAAAGAAAATTTGAAGTTACACTGTAAAATGTATCTATAGTCCAGCAACAAAGGACTTTCTACACTAGTTTCACTGTATTGAATATAAACATTAGGCTTCACAAAGTGACCTCTGTCGTAGCTTAAAATAGCTGACATTTATTTCCCCATTACCATGCATGGTATTAGCAAGCACAACACAAGTATTGTTGGCTGAAAATAAACCCTTGCATCTTTGGAGGAAATAGAAATTATGAAGTTGTATTTTGAATAGACTGTATAAGCCATACATTTGAGGCTTCAAATTTTTAGTTTTTTTTACAAAGAAGATACAAACAAAAATTCCATATCCCTAAAAGTAAAAAGATTTCCATATTAACCTGTGATCTTTAAAACACACTACCTATAGTGAAAAGTAAATGTGGATAAAAAGACAGTCTTGAGATAGAATAATGGATTTAACTATTTAAGGATATGTGATTTCTCTAAAGTATGCCTTAATTTTTATTTTAGTAAAATTTCTCAAGTGAATTGTCTCTAAGTTCTTCTTAAGCTCAATTACAAAAACATTACTTATAAAATGAGAAGTTTATTTTAAAATAAAAAGTAAGTGGGACACACCCAAGATATTTCAAAGCTAAGATAAAATGGGAAAGTATAGTAATAGTTCAATTTTTAAAAATTTCAAAAGTGAAAATCTATCATAGGCTTGAATTTGATAGACACTGTAATAACTGAAACAATCACAACTAGGGGAAACTTGAAAAATTTACAGATTGTACATTTCAGATATGAGATATATAGTTGATATAAATAATTTATGATGATAATTGTAACAAAATGTATTAATAAAAGTAAGGCTTTAAATAACTGAGAAAGTCTAAAGCTGAAATTGTTTATGTAGCTTAATTTGTTCTTCAATTTAAGGAATAAAGCCTTTTTTTGAATTTCCATCTGTTGAATGTAAACAAAACAAGAAACTAACTTAAAATCTATAAATAGGAAGAATGGAAAAGAATATCTGGTGAGTATAATATTGATAGACAAAAACATTGGAAATGTTAAAGACGAATTCCTTTAAACTAAGGATAAAGAGAAGAAAGAACTAAAACTAAGCTACAAAAAATTTAGTGGGACTAGACACTGGGCAAAGAAAAGCTGAAGACATTAGAGGAAAAATCCTTTTTAACACACTTAGCTCTTTTGTCAGTTAAGACTTTACCTTTTATTCATGTTTTATAGTGTAATAGGTAATTCAAAATAAAGCAGAATCCACAGGTCACAATAATATCTTTTTCACTGAATCTTTAATTAAAAGAAAATGATTCCCATAAATTGTTGAGTTTCATTCTAAGCAGTAACAATTCCATGGCCTATTTGAATTTGCCAAAATAAGCGCATTAAAGCTATCGTACCTATATGTAAGCTCTGTAGAAAAAGATGTCAACTTTCTTAGCAAGTACTGGTGGCAATAACTGTTGTTTCAAGAAAACAATCACCATCTACATATTGAACCTGATTTCTCCTAAATTTTCCTGCTTTGTTGCTGGAACATCATGTTATTGTTAAAAGATTCTCATCTGCTCTTCAATTTTCTGAGAGGATCTACACCTTACAGCAAATATTTACCTTATGCCCACTACTGAAAAAACAAAACAACAACAAAAGTCAAATGCCTAATGTACAATTCATTCAGGGCCTTACCTAAGAGGAGGAGGTAGATTTCACATTGAAAGATCCCAGCAGTGCCTCTGTGGGGCTCCATGAAAGCATCCTATCCCATGCATACAGTGCCCTATTCTCAGTGGTAAGTTGGTTCATGGACTAGCATCTGTTGGTTTATTTGCTAGGGAAATTAGCAGTGAGGTAACAGACCCTATCCTGCCTCTTGCTTCTGTGATTTGAATACAGAATGATGTGTGTACAAAGGACACAGGGAGTGGGGACACCTGTTATGTGCTTTGTCAGAATACAGGCATACGACTTTCAGAATAGTTTCTTAGTGATTATCAGTAACTGTCAGTATGTTTTATAAATTATTCTTTGTTATTACTAATCACAAGATGAAAAATATCCTCCTGGATGACTTTACTGAAAAATAGTGTGCCTACAAAATAAACAAAAAAAAAAAACTGGTTTCCTCTCATGCAAAACTATGTCATTATTTTGAAACTTGAGATTTCCTATGAAAATTGATATAGTTTATGTATCTACTAAGCAGTTATTAATCCTCATGATGTAAGCAATTAACATGTACAGATTACACCAAAGACACCAAACAGAACACCAGGGAATCTTTAAAATGTATTTTTTTATTATTACAAATGACTGCTATGGTTTTATTGAATCTTACTGATTCATTGTGTTTTTAGAAACAGATCACAGGTGTGTTTCCAAGTGGGGCTGAAGCTCATGTCATGCATAATGATGACAAAAATCCTGTGCCAACAGATAATATCTGAGGCCAGATTTCACCGCTGAAACTTGCAGCAAACCAGTAATCCAGAAAAGATCTTGCCTGCACTGTGGCCGTTCTCTTATCTAGCCTCGCCTCTCCACTGTCATGGCAGCAGATAGTCGGAATACTTCTGCTTAATTTACTAAGTTATAAGTTAACTTCCAATTGCAAGAAAGCGTACCATATTAAATGGAAAGTATATTACCAAATCTTCATCAAATCCAGTAAAATTCCTTGCATAAGTCAGTTTTAACAGTAAGGACTCACTGAAGTCCCATGATGAGAGGGGAAGGAAAAGCATTGGTCCAATGTAATTCAAAGTTAAAAAGAATGATAGTTACTTTGGAATCCAACTTGTTTAGAAAGGCTTCCACAGGCAAAGAAAGTGACTACTGAGAAATTTGAGTCCTTGCTGGAGGTCATTTTATGATCTCTCCTGCTTCAGAAACATGGTGAGAGCTCCCTACCTGCAGGTGCTAACTGTACCACCACTTTCTCTTCTGTATCTCTAGATCTTGTACACAGATCTGTTGCAGCACTTATCTAGAAACCTCAGTGCATCTGATTAGATGTTTATTTTCCCTCTGAATTCCTCAAATAGAGAAAAAATTGAATTTATGAATCCTTAGAATCTAACCATAGTGCTTCACTAGCATTTTTGTCAAGATGTTTACCCCAAAGCAAACTCCAAGTGCTCTTTGGCCTATGCCTTTTAATTCTCAAGGGATACTTAAGAAATGCACATAACTTTAAAAGTTGGGCTGAATAAAACACAATTCAGATTTTAATATGGAATTTGCACTGATATCACAGTTCTCCCAACACCACAGAGATCAGTATTGATCTCCAATTGCTGTTTTCAGATAAGCCCTTCCTGTTGTTTTCCAACGAAGTGATGGCTCATGAAGTTTTTTAGGTCGTTGGCAAAATGTGAGAAATACAGACAACATCGTGTGTGTTTTCTAATGTTAAATGTACTCAATTTAAAAGACTTTATTGTGATTTTTCCTGTTTCTTTTGTTGCATAAATTTTTTTTATGACACTGGTGATAGTTGATGTCATATAAATAAATCCAATATCAGGATGAACTATACTTGTTGTCGTTTCATGTGATGACACATACGAAAAAAATTGACCCTAACTCAATAGGACACAGTTTAAGAAAGTGCTACGTGGAGTAAATATGATATGGCGCCCTCTCGTGGTGGGTTGGTAGAAGTAAATCTTTATCTGCAGGAGTAATTTCTGAACTCAGGATGTTTACACGGGAAGTTATACAAGCAATGTTCAAATTTAACTTCAACTGTTGCCAATTTTTACATAATTCTTAAAAATATCTGGAAGTGTTTTATCATTATAAGTAATTTACCGCCAATATCTTGCATCGCACTTGGAATCCACTGGGGAAGCTCTGCTGTATCATTCTGATGAGGATAAAAGGGCCTATACCCTGACCGTTTACTTACCTTAGTTATATTTGCCTTTAAAATGAGGTGACTGATTAACTTGAAACAATCTATATCCATGGCGACCAAATTGCAAACAATGCAAGGATCCAGTGGGATAGTGTGTGTTTGCACTTGCATACGAATACATACACAGTCTTATGTAGGATGTGTGTGTGTGTGTGTGTGTGTGTGTAGGGCAGGGCTCTTTGTTACCTTTCAAGTCATACTAACATAGTTTACAGTCTAGTTTATTCGAATTATAAGGTTAGTCTTGCTTTATACAGCTACAAGAAATTTCAAACCCTCGTAGTCTTTAATTCACATTTGTGCAGTATTTTGAAACGGCAAAAACGGTGGAGGAAAGGTTGTGAAATGCCAAAGTCAACAAAGAACAGTAGGGCCCATGAAAAAACTGGGGAAAAAAGTGTTTTCTTATTGTAATTAGATCCTAGAAAGGATTGCAGTTTATAGAAAGCACTGTCTGCTAGAGGAGGCTGTCAATAGGCCTGTGTATGCGCTAGTGTTCATGTCTGTATATAATGCTGCCTCCCACAACCCTAGCTCTATCTTCTGTGACTGCTAGATGACATGCAGCAGTATCTTCCGTTCTAGGCACCTGACCAGGTCACTGCTTTGCCTTTAGCAGCTGTTCTGTTTACTCAGGAAGCATATTCAGACTGTCCCAGAGAGGCCAAGCTTCCCCATCAGGTTGATATTTACAGCATGACAAGAAATGTATTTTCCTAATCATGCCAGGACTTCAGTTCTTTTTTTTTTTTTAACCTACACAGGAGTTTATTACTGGCCGGACCCAAGCCTAGCATCGGACTCCAGCCTTGACTGGGGGGAGATTAACATGTTTTATACACCTTTGAGGCCAGCAGTTTCTAGTAAAGCAAGCAAAAGGTACAGAAGCAGAACGTGCTGCTGTTAGAACATTTGTAAAACAATAGTTGATTAATTGTTGTTTCTAAGAGACTCTAAAGGGAGGAGGTTTCTAAGCTTCCTCCTTTATTTACTTATTTATTTATTTATTAAATTCTTTTATTGGTACATTGTAGGTATACAACACAATTACATTTCTCCTTGGGAATTGTACCTTTACATAATGCATCTTGGTTCTTATTTTTTCCCCATTCCTAGCCCTCCCTTTACCCCCTCCACCCTTCCCTATTTACAAAGACTTTATTTCCATTTTTTCCATTTCTCAGCATTTTTCCTTTCCCTTCTTTCCTTTCCCCTGCCCCTCCCACTACCCCTACCTCTTTGGACCTTTTCTTCCTATTTTGGATTATCGATTATTCATTCTAATCATTGGTACATTTTAGGTATACAATATAATGACATTCATCATTGGAAATTTGCACCTTTACATAATCTCTCTTGTTTCTTATTTTTCACCCCTGCCCAGCCCTCCCTTCAAGCCCTCCATTCCTCCCTATTTACAAAGATTTTGTTCCTATTTTTCCCTTTTCTCATATTAATCCCATTCCCTTCTATCCTTTCCCCTAGCCCTCCCACTTCCTTCCCCTTTGCCCCTTTTCTTCCTATTTCACATGACCTATTATACATTTTAAGGACTTCAGTTCTTATTTGAGCTTTGAAAGGCTATTGTTGTTTCAGCCATCAGAAATATGCTTTTATGCTACTAACCTGCTAATGCCATTACCTAAAATCAGTTCACCTTGTTTTACTCTGATCTCTGATGTTCCAGTCTGCAAAAACAGGTCTGGCTATCCATTTCTAAAGGAATATTATCAAGGAAGATTTCTCTAAGACTTGATTTCAGGCCATTGATACTTTCCACTGGTTTTCCCTAGCCTACCACGGACAACAGTAAATCATATATATTGCAAAATGGGAATGAAATAATATACTCCACTGTTTCAAAAAGTGTTACATAGGGCACTTTTATATAGTAATAGAGTATGCTGGTATAGTTTATTTAGTCAACGTCAGGGATTTACTTCCCATGTTTTCAGTATTTCACTTGCAGCTTTTGAGTTGTCCAATTCTCCAGCTTATAAGAAATAAACTAAAATGTAGGTATTAGAGTCAAAGTTTTAATGTTTTCCAGAGTCAAACAGCTATGAGAAGAACTCATTTGTCTAAATTTGGCCAATAAGACAAAACAAATACACTGGATTAAAAGAAAAAAACAATTTTTTGGATCAGCCTTAACTTTGTGTAGTTGAGTATATGAAGGAGAAAATTCTGGGACTGAATCTAGGTTCTAGTTCTGCATTGGGCTCTAGTGAAATATGTGGATTATATACCTTATATGGATAAATTTTCTTATTGCTAAAGAATGGATCTGAAATGTTGGGCTGCCTATAAGAGCCACTGATAATCTGAAACCAAGAACTCCAAAGGAAACAGTAACAGTAGCATTCTCTTCAAGTGAATCTGAATAGTCAGGTTGGAGAACTACTGTAATTGGATTGCCTTGAAGGTGTGATTTTCAACTAAACTTGAGATCACAACCATACCTTAAGAAAGTACTTAATACAGAATAGTGTTGCCTTGTGCCCTCAAATCAACAAATGTTTATTGAATTGGGTTTTATTTATATGCTAATATGATTGGCAGTTTCTGTTTCTTTTGATGCTTTCAGGAACTTCTAATATTGAACATTTTCATACACCAAGCACAGTCTAACAGTTAAGATTAGATCAGCTAAAGAAGGAACTACATAAAAAGTCCCTAAAGTGGACTTTTTTTGGTGGTGATGATGGTACTGGAGATCGACCCTAAAGGCACTCTACCACTGAGGTACATCCCTATCTTTCTAATTTAAGTTTTAGACAGGGTCTTCTTAAATTACCCATGTGGGATTTTAACTTGAGGTCCCTCCTGTCTCAGTTTCTCAAATGCTGGGGACCAGATTTTTGGGGGGGATGGTAGAGGTACTGTAAATGGAACCCAGGCATTCTCTACCACTGAGCTATACCTCCAGCCACTTAATTATTTATAACTTTCAGA